CGCTGCCAAGGAGGATCGGCCGGATTTGATGGTGAAGAAATTGCGATATTATGCACGGTTCATAGTCGTCTGTCTGCTGCTCAAGAAGATGAAGCTGGTGCGGGAACTGGTCACGGAGCTGGAGAAACAAATCCAGGAGTACACGAACACGTAAAATCACCCATCGAATGCAGATCTGCAGATCGTATATAAACTTTGAACGCCCTTTGCAGCTACGAGCCGGAAGATCATTTGGAATGGTCCCTGGTGCTGGAGGAGATCAAGGGCTTCATCAAGGCGGAGGCAGCAGTCGCCGTGCTGCATGCCGACTCCAATCCCATCATCTTGTCGCACAGGTGAGTCGTTGGCGCAATCCTTGTTACCATACAGCAAACACTTTGCCCGTGCTTTCGTCGGCGGAGTAGGAGTATGGAGAGCTTGTGGGGTCGGATATATATATCTATCTATCTATCTATCTATACAACGGGTTCTATGGGCTCTATGTTTGGTTTGTTTTTTGTTTTTTGTAGGCGTAGGTATACAAGTTTTGCTTCTGTTTTGTTGCTGTTAATTATTTAATTTTATTGTGCTTATCACAGAAGACTTGAAAACACCAAAGAAACACTCACTGTTCTCATTCATCACGCACTTTTCCATTCAGTTTATCCCCCCAATTCAATCACTCACACACACACACACAAACTCCCTCCACACATACACACACACCTGTACCAGCTAAGGATACAACTAATTGAAAAGGTTTCTAGTCTTAGCAAAATTCTGTTTAGTACTAAGAACTATAACAAATTTCACATACATATTTCATAGTTATAGTATATCAATGAACTTTCTATCTGTGTAGATGTGTCTTTGACATAGTAAAGATCTCTTTATTATAATTATAATATATGCTTTTGATTCAACATATATCTCATAGTTAATGATTTCCATTTTAAAATCTGATAAATACTGTATTATTATTAATGGTATTAGTTTTTAGGGTATTAATCTTATGAGCTTTAGTTATTATGTAACATTGCCATAAAAATAATCCTGAATAATATGTATACTCTTCGACATAGTTCAGTTACTCACGATCAGTGAATCTTAAAGAAATTCTATACAAGTCTTAGAGTCCGTCGACTCTTTCTATAGTATATTTCAACTTCTAGCTGGTAAATGTTACACACACTCACTCACACACACACACACACACAACTTTTTATCAGTTCATATGTTCTCCTACCTGTTACCCTCACACCACTCCCACAGACCCCTCTATTCCTCACCCATATATATCACCTCATTAGTGCGCCGCATTCTCAATTCTTCTGTGAAAGCACGGGCCACCGCAATTTGATTGTGGACCAGCGCAACTACATCGACTGATGGTCAGTGGTTCCGGTTCTAGGTTATCGCCGCTGACGACGCCGCCGTGCGAGAGATCACCGCACATGACGCTTAGCCTGCAGGAGATACTGATTGTGGGATCCGCCTGTGAGCAGGCCAAGTTCTCCGAGCTCACTATGGACATGTTTAGGTGAGTGAAATCGAAATTTCCTCTGGATTAATTAGTAATTGATTTGGATTCCTTGGCAGAATGCTGCAAACGCTGGAACGTGAGCCCACGGAATCGGCAACGAATCCGCTCAGCATGTCACATGGGCTGCATGGGCACGATGCGAGTCCGGCGGCCAGTCGCATACCACCATACGGAGTGCCCGGCTCCAAGGGCTATATGGAGAATGGCCGTCGAGACTGTCGAGACAATCCACATAAATATCTACTATACAAGCCATCGATTAGCCAGCTGCTGGTGTTCCTCGCCAGCGGCTTCAAAGAACTACCTTTGGGCGGTGCCCTACTCCTGTACATGTCAGCGGACGGCTGTTTCTCCACCACCAAGCATCCCGAGGACTGTGAGTAGCTAGCGGCAAGTACGCATGAAGCGCAGCGCCACTAATTTCCATCTCTCTTACAGATGGCTATGAGCTGGGCGGCCTGGGCACGAGTGTGAAGCGTGACAGCGTTGATGGCGGCGGCCTGTCGTGTCGCGGGAAGTCCTACAAGGAGAACCACTGTCTTTATCCCGGCGATCTTTATCCGTTCACGCGTCGGCCCATGTTCATTATCATCGACTCGGATAATTCGTTTGTCTTTCAGCATATACCCCGCTACTTTGGACAGCCGCTGGTTATTCTCATGTCGCCGCAAGATGTGCCGCCCGCTTTTCAAGGTAGGTCTGACGCCCAAGGTCCGTGAGAGAGTTTTGTGCTGATGAATCCAGAATAACATTAGGAAAGCTTTGGTTTATCCACTTCTAGCTCTACTTCGGTAGTTCTTCCACAGTCCGTTATTAAACCTCCCTTTCTTGCAGCTGATGTACAGCATCATGGCTCGTTGTTTACATTGTTCCTGCACTCCCCGCTCACAGCGCTCTGCTACATTTGCAATGTGGGAGATGTGCCCATTCATCATTGGGAACGCTGTCAGACCTATGTGGATCGTTTCATAACCGAAGCCTCGCGTCTGGTTACGCGCTGTCGCATCGATGAGATCGAGCAGGGTATAGGCTTTATAGGTAAGTAAAATGAGGCATAGGTATTGCAAATACTTACATCAGTCCCATTCGTATGCCTCCCTTGCAGACTCCTCGTATGTTCAGTTCTTTGGGGACGATTTTCTGCGCACACTCATTCTACGTTTCGTGTTCTGTGATGTGGTGCTGCGTTTGCATCGCGGTTTCCGTGGCAGGCATATGCGGCCGCGCTGCGAACCCCAGCTGCCGGCTAACGAACTGCTCGAGCATCCCTCGCTGTCGCACATCATATTCCAGCTGGCATCGGCGCTCGATGTGCGCAACCATTTCTCGGAGGGGCCCGAGTGCGACTGATGACTTTTTTTGGCCGTAGTCTTAGCTCTAGTCATAATGATAATTTTCTACATGATGCAGCAGCAGCAGCTGCAGCAACAGCTGCTGCAGCTATTCAATCTCTACTGCCTGAACAGACAGTTCTCGTTGTTCCATTATCTGTACAATATATATTCGCTGGCAGCGAGCTGGTCTGTTAGCTGAGACTAGCTGCAGACATTCTCCATTGTCTGGCTATTCAAATTTTTATAACATACCAGATACGATATATCATATGAGTATATATATATATATATATGAATATGTATATTAAACGCGAAATATATATATAATAATAATCGAGTAGCTAGTTTTCTTATATAGTGCGTCGCGCAATGGAATGGTCCAATGTTAGTTGCTTAGCATATACATTATAATAATATTAAACAAATATAACAAATATACAATAAATAATAAAACGCAGCAAGAAACAAAACGAGATGTAAACCTAACAAACGAAAACTGCCAAAGAGAAGTTGAAAAAGGAATCAAATTTTGTTTGAGCACAGCAATTAAGACCGAAAACGAACAAACAAAAAACAAACAACAATTTTCATACGCAGCATTAAACATTTAGCTTTTATACAACAAATTAGAGAGCAGAACGAAAACTTATAAATAACACGACACACTATATAAGAAATGCGTTCTTTTTTTACTGTACACGACGCTTAATATATAAATAAATGATAAATGATATATATAAATAAATACAAATGCAAATACAAATAATAATTATAAATGATATTGTACGTATGTAATATTGCATATAGGTATTATTATGATTACAAGATGACTGAAAGTTACTGTTTCAAAAAAAAAAAAAAAGCAAGAGAGTTAGCAAAAATAATAATTACTTATACATATATATATATACAGTATATATTTAAGCTAAACACAACAAATAAATATATACAAAAAGATATATTTTGCGTATGTTACAACAGATAATTACATTAACGAAAAGGCAACCCAGCAAAAAAGTAAAAGAATAACATTTTATACAAAAATTATATATAAATGAAATCACATTCATATGAGCAAGCCCTATATCATATCGCAGTGTTCCAAAAATGCAAAATTCTTGGTTTTGAAAAACGTTAACAAAAAATGCTCGATTCTACAACACAATATATATATATACATATATTATATAATGTATACAATATTATATATATGAACAAATGCAACTAATAACAAATATTTGATAGAGTCCGCCTCAAAAAAAAAAAAAAAAAAAAAAAAAAATTTTTTTTAGTTTCATTAAACAAAAAACTTTTAAAATTTTATTGCAAACAAATTTTAAGCTAAATTTCTAAATTTCTCTTTCTCTCTTTCTCTGACTTATAAACAATAATAAAAAATCAAGCAAACCCTTATTTATTTCTCCTAAATTCTTAAATACTCTTAAACAATTGTATAGACTTTTAAACAAAAAAATCAAATTGTTTTCAAATTTTGTATATACATAAAAAAAATATGTAATTAATTTAAAAATTAAAACAAAAAAAAATTTATATAAAAAGAAAAGTAAATATGATATAAACGAAATGCTCTTGAACCAAATGATAAAATGTATTGCTAGCGCATTATCATTTCTCTTAATATTAGATTTTGTACATTTGAAAATTGCATTTACATAAGCAACAACAACAACAACAAAGATGAAGAAAAACTGCAACAAGAAACATTAAAAGATAAACAAATAATATACAAATTAATTCATGATTAATCAGCAACATTAGCCACACGATAAGCGAAACAAACGAATCCCACAAAAGAATACATTCAAGCATTATCATAAGCGAATTGTTTAACACACACTCACACACACACACACACACATATACATATATACAATCACACTATCAAACCATAAACAACAACAAAAAGATAACAAATTTAGCAAAGCCACAAAAATTATTATGAAAGTATGGAAAGTATGGAGAGTGTATGGAGTTTGTATGAGTAATAAGAATAAAGCACATGTTTGAAAAGAAATCTATAATGAATACCACTTTATTTAAGTGTGTGTGGGAATCGGAGCTGCTGTCTTCTGTTGAGACTTGCTTAATAAGTAGAAAATTTCCATACAGAGAAGGTACCTTAGGTTAATGTTAAGTAAGACTACCCGTGCGCTGTTCAATCCAGTCCAGAAACGATGAGACGCGCATGAATACATCCGGTACAGGTCTTTTACATTTGGAATCATAGCCATGCGAGACGACACCCACCAGCACATTGGAGCCATCATCTAGAACCAGAGGACCGCCCGAATCACCGACACAGGGCATTCCGCGTTGCGTGTCAACGCACAGGAATGAGTCCAATATTATTTTCTTTTCCGCAACTAGGACCTTGTTCCACAGTAATTCGCACAGTATATTCGGAATGATTTTGACTTGCAGGTATTGCAAGATCTCAGCGGGTTCTTGGTTGGCCATGCGCCCCCAGCCAGAGACAAGGGCTTTGCGGCCTTCATAAGTGCTGGGACGTTTTCTATTGGGCAACTTGGCTAGCTGTATGTATGCACTAAATTGCAAATCCTTTGGTAAATGAATTAGTGCAATATCATTGGTTGCGAGTAGCTCATCGTAATCTGCATGCACAATCGTGTCCTGCTTATCGACCAATATTTCCACACGGCCCGGTTCATCGTCGTCTGTTGTGTTTACGATGCCCGCGAAGACGAGCACATTTTTACTGAAAGTCATCTTTATACATATATCTGAACTTAAAATTGAATTAAATACTCACAATTCATGGTCTGAGAGTTGCAGGCAATGGGCAGCCGTTAGGATCCAGCGCTTGGAGATGATTGTGCCGCCACAATAGAATGGATCTTCACTCTCCTTGAAAGTGCATTCAAGCCAGACTTGGTAGGGCAACAGCTTTTGCCAGGCCGGTTTACCATTGGTTATACGCGGATGTCCCTGACCAAGAACCAGAGAGGAGCTGAACAGCAGGCACAGTAGATGGAGTAACTTACTCATACTATTTTTTCTATACAATTGAGTTGAACTTGCATTTTATATAGCCTTGCGCTTAATAGCTTTGCGGCGCGCATTGCTGCTTATCTAAGTTTTACCTAACAAATTATTGGCCTGCTATCTCTTTAATAGCTTAAAGCAACAACAACAAAATTAACTTATTTTCTATAAGGCTTTCTATACAATGCATATTTTGAGTTGGGCATTCAAAGTTGGTTTGTATAGTCTTTGTTTAATTTACAATTTCAAAATTGCTAAATGCTTTAGATAGGGACATCAAGTATACATATAATATTTATATATTATTTATTGGTTTAACGTTGTCTGCCAAACTTGTAGATGACTTCGTGATGGTATTTCTCCTCCGGTCGCAATATGGTAGAGGGAAAGTTTGCATGATTCACAGAATCAGGAAACTTTTGCGTTTCCAGGCAGAAAGCGCCGTGCTTGGCATACGCTGCGCCTGCTTTTCCAGCCAGGGCACTCTCTCCCTTTGCTGTATCTGGTAAAAAGTTGGATGTATAGAACTGCACGCCTGGTTGATTGCTGGCGATTTCTAGCCAACGACCGCTTGGAGGATGCGTTACTCTGGCTACATTGGCGAAGCTCTGCGGCGGCTCAAATTGCACGCAAAAGTTGTCATCGTAACCCAGGGCCGGCTGCAACTGCTCAAGGCGTTCTCCCAGATTGCTAATCAACCGTAAATCGAATTTCCCACCATCGACGGGCAATATTTTTCCTGTTGGTATAGACTCATTGTCGGTCTCCGTTATACCATAGGCATTGATAGATATGTTATGTTCGTAGAGCCCCTTCCGACCTGCCTTATGGCCGGCTAGATTAAAGTAGGAATGATTTGTGAGATTCACAGGTGTCGTTTTGCTGGTCGACGCATCCATTCGCACATGCAGGCAATTGTCTTCGGTTAAGGTGAAGGTAACTGTAGCCCGGACTTCGCCTGGATAGCCTTCGTGGCCATCGGGATTGGTGTGGGTCATACTGACTCCATTGGGTAGCACCTCCAACACTTTCCAATGTGCCTTATCGAATCCTACAAATCCGCCATGTAGCTGAAATGTTCCTCTATTGCGGGACACCTCAATTGCTTGGCCATCCAGTTGAAACTTGCCGTTCGCTATGCGATTGCAAACGCGTCCAATAGTCGCACCCATATATGGATTATTCTCTCCTTGATAACCCGCCAGGTCATCAAAGCCGAGAGTCACGTCCTCCACTTGACCTTTAGCATCGGGCACTTTAATGCTGCTGATCGTTGCACCAAGCGTTAAAATCTGCACTGACATTTGCTCATCATTGGAGAGCGTAAAGCGCCGAATGGGCCCCGTTTGCTTAGTAAAGGGATCCACTGCTGCAGTAGCGAAAACATCTTCCGTGACGTGCACCATGTTCACTGATCTTTGTTAATGAAGTCAATTGTCGATATGCAGCTGCTTAAATAGCGTTCGCTGCAACCGCAATTAAATACATACATACATATGTATGTGGAGTGTTTACGTGAAATATCTAATCTATATGTTAAGTGGATAATGCTCGCCACAAACGCGATTCAAGTGTAAGTGTACATTTGTTATATGGATATCTACGTACTCTTCATAAACATTTGTGCAATTCGAATGCCGCGTTTATACTTCATATCGATATACTTTTACTTTTGATATATCATGCTAATCGATGAATGTTAAACAACTATCAGTGTAAAGGTAACTACTTTCGATCATTTACAGCGCCACTTGTTGCGCATTCGATAAATGTTAAGACGCAGCTGTGCGGTGTTTTGGAATACATTCGTATTTTTTTTAACAACTGTTAGGCATTGTTTTAAACGAGCAATAGTAAACGATATAAATCATGTTTAAACACATTCAAAGCACTCATATATGGCTTCGTTTTCTTCAAAAACAATACCAAGTAAAGTTTATTTGATGATTATTAACATTTAAACGCTCAGCTGTTGCTTCACTCAAGAGATACCTTAACAGTGAAAGCAAGCCAAATGAACTACTCAAGTGCTTAAGCAGTGATTGGTTCACTCATTGGCCATAGCTCAGACGAACCAACTCCGCAACTCTCTTTTGTTTATAAAAAGCAAAATGGGATTGACGTGGCAGCGGCTGAGATTTAATTTGTTAATATTGGTAATTGCACTGATAGCGTCTTGCCAATTAATTGCATTTACTAGCGCACAGGAAGCACAACAGCCATGGTATGAAAATTTGCCTGCTGTTGCAATGGATTATAAGGTAAACATAAATGAAGCCAATGGGAAGCACGGAAGTAAACAACAACAAATGTTTTTTTTTTTTTTTTTTTTGTGTTTAACTAAATAAACAGGTGCACATAGATGCCGGCAAGGAGGACTGCTACCATCAGTATGTGCAAGCGGGTGCTACCTTTTACGTTTCCTTCAGTGTAAGTAAATGTCACCGAGGTTCATGGATTAGGAGCAACTTTATTTATGCGTTTCCCTATCTAGGTGGTTCGTGGAGGAGATGGTATGGCTGGCTTTGCTGTTCGCAATCCGTCTGGCACTATCGTTAAGCCTTATCAATGGCAAGCCACAGCAGACTATACTGATCAAGTCTCTCCCGGAGGATATTATTCCGTTTGCATCGATAATCAATTCTCACGCTTCGCTGGCAAATTGGTCAACATTTATATAACAGTGGTTAAATACGATGCTTGGGATAAATACGCAAAGGAAATTGAGGAGTTGCAGCTAAATATGCAGAATTTCACAACTACAATTGGTACAGTGGAGCGAAATATTAACGAAATATTGGGCTATCAGGCGCACAGCAGACATCGAGAGTCGAGGGATTATGCGTTGCTGCTTGATAATAATTCCTACATACAAACGTTCTCCATTAGTCAAATTATTGTCATACTGATCACCTGTTCCATTCAGGTGAGACAAATCGAGTGACTGAGTGTGTGTCAGATATAGCTAATAATCGTATTTTAATTGCAGGTATTTTTCGTTCGCAAACTATTTGATGTGAGATCTAGCTCGAAGAGCCGTATATAGATGCTAATTGTGCACAATACGTTTATGAAAACTTGTATACTTTCCTCTACTTTTTTATACGTACACCACCCGAGCACGCACACACACATATTTCCATTCCTCACATGCACACACCCACATAACATCATTAATATGTAATTATTTTATTGTTGGCAAACAGAACAAGTGCGAAGCTGAATAGATTATGAACTACAACAACTATTTATCATATATACTAATCATGTGATAAATGCAAATGTGTGAGTTTTTTAATAAAAAAGAAAAATTACAATTTTTTAAATAAAACTTATCGTTTATAAATTTATAACATATTTTGTAAAGCTCCTATGTGTGGATTGTGTCTAAGCTAATTGCATGTTGAGTCCTCCAAGCCAAGTCAATTTGTTTACTAACAGCTGTTATATTTAACATGCATTAATATGACAATTAACGATTGTTAGCAGACGATAAATGCAAGACCAAATTTGCTTCTATGTATGTACAACTTAAATGTTTTAATTAATAAGTAATTGCCTGACGTTAAGCTTCGTTTACACATTGTGGGTTGGTGTACATGCTAAACGTATACCAACTCCTGCAAGTTTTGCATATTAATTTAGTCTAGACTTATATATGTATAGTTAACAGTCGTCCATGTTAATCATGACAACATGTTAATGTCTTATAATGTAAATAAAGAAGTTAATGACTAAGCCGATCCCACACGTCAAGTCTCTTGATAACGGCGTAAACCTGAAGTTGTTAATTTAGTTATAAATGTATCTGTTATATTGATTGACATTTGGTGGACTATGGCTTGGCGCATCTAGTGCCGAAAAAATGCCTTCGCCCGTATCACTTCCTGGCCGTAGAACACCTTCGCTGTGAGCATATGAAATATAACAGTTGATTTAGAGAAACTTGTTTAACAATTGAAGGGGGTATTTTAGCTCACCCAAAAAAGTTGCCTTCAAATCTCCTCGCACTAGCACTGTGATAGTATGGCGCCGCGTTAATCCAGCACATAGATCCCATTATAAAACACAACGTAAACAAATAAATATTGATGAACTTCATTGCCAACAAATGTAGATTTCAATTAATATGTCTAAAATATTCCTTCTCAGATGTTGTCGGTCTGAGCTTTAATCGGACTATGCGACTATCATTCGGTAGCATATCATCTATTTATACCAACCAGACGTTGAGCAGTCTATTTACACATGCACAACATATATACGATCAGAACTAGTTTCTATTAGTGACGGTGATTGAACTAAAATGGTTTTTAATTTACAAATAGAGTTTGAATTTGAATTTAGCAAAAAATCCTAGTTCAATGTACATTATTATTATAATTCAAGACAATTAAAATTATTTCAAAGCTTAATTTTAGTTGACAGCATTATTTAAATCATGTACGTCAAGTGTGAACCATTTAAATTAAAAACAAATAAACTAAAAATCAACAGCAAGCATGTGTCGTTTTATTTCTCGCACAAACTTGATCTGCTTGAACGTCTTTTCACAATTTATATAAAGCGAAGATGGAAAAGTAGGAATCCGGTTAAGCTAACTAATGTCTGTGCTTTAAAATGTGTTGACAACTATTTAATTGGCTTTATTTTTAAGTTTTTGTCGTCTACTGCGTCACATCAATTGGTGACGCCATCGATCTGGCTCCTGAATTCGCAATTTTCGACTTTGAATAACAATATTAATGTTATTATTATTTTCTGGAAGCTGCATCACGAGACGAATAAGTTTGCGGGTGCTTGAACTCGGGTTGCTTCGTATGGGTTTAGATTTTGCTACATCTAATTATCTAATTATTATCTTATTGTTTATCATTTATTATATGAGATCGTGAATGGAATCTGCTGATGAATCAGCGCTCTAGGGAATAGCTCTGCCCACAAAACCTCAAGTCTTATGATTTTGCATTTTGATATATATTTTAATAAATTAACAACTCTTCGCACCACCCTCGCACATTTTTTTATTAGACTCACACACTTAATTATGTTCTTTTTGAAAGCAGACATTTTTGGCGAAATTAAAATGTTATTATGTGTGCGCTTATCTGCGTCGTCTTTCAACTGAGCCCCCCGTGGAGGGGAGTCTCTGTGGAGCCTTTAAGGCAGGCAGCGTTGCATTCCAAATGAAGCCGCAAATGATGCGAGGCCCGGCCCCAAGCCAAGCGCCTAATGGCCCGCACACAGATAAGCTCAGCTGTTGCAATGTGTGTGTGTGTGTGTGTGTGTGTGTGTTAGTGCTGGATCTTTAACTGTTTTAAACGCCATTGTTAAAATATTGCTCATACGCACTTCCGCTTGAAATGGGGTCTTTGCTTGGACTAATGATGCCGCCGCATACAGCGCTGGCCAAGTGCTTAGAAGCGACAGTCGAAGCTGTGGCTCCGCCCACTCAGCGACAACAGCATAGATAGCTACATATGTATGCATGTATCTGTGTGTGGATGTTGAGCGCGCAGGCGCATCAACCACCGCAAAGGCTGCGGGCTGCTGCTGCTGCTGCTGCTGTTGCTGCTTGGGCATCCTTTTTCGATGGTCCCCTGTGATTGTGGGAGGAGTGTGTCGCCATCTTGAGAGCGAGATGATTTGTGTGGCCCAGTCTGTGCCTCTGACTGCTCGCTTGCCAGCTAACCAGCCTGCTGCCTGGCTGTCTGTCGCACTGTCGTCTGTTGGCCAGCTTTATGTATTGGACGAGCGGGACATACACATTAAGTTCGAGTGCGCGTTACCGTTACGAACACGTCGCGGAGCACCAAGGATAATAACGGCACTTTTGCGGTTAAGGATTCGTCGGCCACACGTTGCATGGCCTGTCCAAACTCGTCTCTGACCAAGAGGACAAAACAAAAATAAAAACTCAGACACACAAATAAAAACAGAGCAAATATCAAATAGAAAAAAATATATATATATAGACACACACATACAATTTGCTTGTTGCTCGCAGTAGGCGTGGCACACATTCCTCCTCCCTCCCACCGCATGTGTGTGTGTGTGCGAAATTTTGTTGTGCGGAAATTATTGAAATTTTACTTTTGATTTTGTTGGCCAAGCGCGCGCTCTGCCCTAGAAAGTGTCCTTACGGCTATGTTTAAGGGACGCGTTGCGACGGTCACCGACGGCGTTTCGTCCCTTTCGCACTGACAAATTTCCGTGCATATCCGCTACAACAACAGCGAAAGTGAACAATAGCAACAACAACTGCAACAAACTAAACAAACAATTTGCGTAGTCCCTATTTTTAGTGTTCCCCACCTTTGGCTCCTTCTACAGCCCCTGCTCCTGCTCCTGCTCCTGCTCCTTCTTTTCCCACTCCTGCTCCTGCTGCGCCTTCATCAGTCCGCAACTCGTTCGCTTGCCGCACATCCGTCGCCATTTTGGACAATAATTTCGTTTCCGCTTTGCCAAATGTAACGGTAAACGGCAATAAAAACACACACACATACACACAAAACAAAACAAAATGCCGCCAACGGACGTGAAGTGAACCGAAGTGAAGTGACGTCTTGAGTCCATTAAAAGCAAAGCCATTGAAACAGAAAGTGAATTAATTGCAATCGAATGAAATTACAAATCGACTTCAGGTCTTTTGATTAAAAAGCAAATACAATCTATTTAAAATTAGACAATTTTTGGATAAACTTTAACTAAGAAACCAGCATAATCCTGAGGTGAGTTAAGTGCATAGAATGGATGAATAATTTTTTAAAATTGTTTTTGTTGTAAAGGCTTAAAATCTTTAAATATTAACTATTTTGTCTGACATACCAATCATCATAAAAAAAGCAATACATTTAATTCTTTTGGTATTAAGTTGAGCTACTTCGTTTGACTTTTAGATGAGAGTCACATTTATAAGTTTTTGTATTTACTATTCATTCATACTTATGACTGCTTTGAAATGAATTTAAATCAAGTTTTTCTAGTTGCATCCACTTACGTTCTTTCTATACAGACTCTTTTCCGTCTGTCTAGTAACTAATTCATGTAGGCAATTGTTAAACAACAAATCAAGGAAACACATAATAGAATTGTAAGAGACATAAACAACATTCATAGTGACTGGAAAGGTAGCTTACCTCGCTACTACTGTCCTATCTTTCTATACTATTTATTATTAGTATAGATAGAAATAATGAGATTTCTTTATATAGCCTCTAGCAAAACTTTGAGAAATGCATTTATTATTGCACATTTATTGTTATTTTTTTTAGTAATTATACATTCAGTAAAACATTTATAATTTCCTATGAACATATATACATATATAGAAAACATGATAGTTATTTTAATAAATTTTACTAAAAACTTTTCACAAGAATTATATTTTTTAAATATATATATATATATATATTTCTACTAAATCCAATAGGATTTTTTTTTATCATTTTCAATGTAATTTGAATCCTTACAAATCCCTGCAACTTTTGCCTCCACTCACTGCTCTACAATTGTCAACTGAAAATATTCCATAGCTTCAATAGCCAACGCCGTCGGCTGCTTTGCGCTTAACAAATCTTCAGTATTACCAAGTGTTAAGTGGCCACGCCCCCTTGGCCGCCCAGTCGCACAGCTGTAGGGCCATTAAATGTAGCTGATAGGTAAAATCTTACAAGCCATTAAAGTGCCACAGCCACGGCGCGTGTGTCCTCATCCTGTTAATTAAAAGCAGCAACACGAGCATTATGTCATTAGCCAGATACACACACATACATATATCTACATGTATATGTATATGTATATATGCAAAGTGTGCGTTTGTGTGTGTGTGTCTCATGTTTTTCACTTTTTATGCAGCCACGCGGCCGCCCTGCTCAGCTTCACAACTTCTCAGCTAACCATCATCAACGCAGCTTCCCGACATCCTGCGCGTATTTCCGGCGTGCGTTCGCTCGCTCTCTCTCTCTCTCTCTGTCTCACTCTCTCGCCTCAGTGTGTGATAACTTCAAAATGGCAGCAAATGGTTGTCCTTCGCCGTGTCCTTGCTGCTCTATTGGCAAACGCGCAATTTGCTTGCCAAACAGCAAACACAATGATAAATAATAAACAAGGCGTGTGCGGGCCGTTTATAATGTCTGCTGCCTGATGATGTTTCACTAGATGCGGCTGCAGCTGATAAGCGAAATTGTTGCTGTTGTTGTTGTTGCCTTAAAGCTGCCAGAAAGTGCGTTGCAAAATGAAATTGAAGCCTTGCTCCTGCTGCTCCTGCTGCGGCTGTGGCATAAATTTCGTTGGCATAAATCAAAATTCAGCAACTTCCGATGAAGGCAGAGTGCAAAAATTTGCATGGCATGCAGCACAGTAACAACAACAACAACAAGACTGACATACACTGACTATAATACAATAGCTAGCCATTAGAAAATATACGCTCAAATGGCCGCCCGCCCACGCATAACGCGCATACGCAGCGTTGCCCTGTGCCGCTTCATAAATAATTCCCAGCACAGAGATAATTATGCTTGTGGTGCACATATCTTAGACTACACAAACACAGCAACACACACTCTCAACAAGCTCTACTAATTATGTTGGCTAGTGTAATAGCTCTGAGCTGCATTTTGTGAAATATTTTGAAATTGCAGCCATTAATTGCGAGCTCTGATTTATGTGCATATTATCAGGCCTAGATATGTGCATAAAGCTATGCATATGTATGTGTATTAATGTATGTACATGTAGACATTTACACTCAGAAAAATATTATTGATATTCTTATTGAACTTCAATTGAAGCAGAATTGGTTTTGTCTTTGCTTTCAATTAAATGAAAAGCTCAATTAAAAACATTTTTTTTAGTTAAAAAATTTATGTTGCATTATCCATAAACAATAATATTAAACATATACTTTAACCGAAAAAATTAAAAAAATATTGATTTTGAACATTTAAATATAAAAACTTTGAAAGAAATTTTAGCTTGAAAATTTACCTATGAAAAATTTTAATTAAATTTTTGATTGGAAATTTAGATAATAAAAATCTTAAGTAAATTATAAATTAAATACCTTTCCATAAGAAAATCTTCATTTATAATAAAACCTTATAAAAAATCGTGATAGGACAACAAGCTTAAGGAGAGCTGCTTTCTAGACATCTTAATTGCTCAATAGCTTCCCCATAGCTCTTCTTCCGCTCTCTGTAAGCTTCTGCCTCTCTATCAGCAATAGCACCACCTGTTCTGTTCTGCTTTTTGTAGGCTTGACCTGCTCTCTGCCAACAGCTTCCTCATTACGTTCAATCGGCTCTCCCCTAAGCTTCGCCTCAATAGCTGTCCCACATTTAGCATACCCCTCTCGCCCAACTTCTACCTCTCTTCCAACAAATCCTTTTGAATTTCTAACTTGTATTATGATATATACATAAATGTACATCAACTCAAGTCTCATTTCGTGTCTCAATTTCCATATATTTCAGAGTCAAGTGGAATCCATTGGTTCACCAACAAGTAGCCGTTGACGCTTCGGAAGGTCGCGCCATGTACGAGAATTCGTGTTCGTATCAAACGGCGCTGGACTTGAAGCGCGTCTCACCGCCGACGCTCGCCCAGGTGAAGACGGAGGATTGCCTGACCCTGGGCCAGTGCTCGCCGGACTGGACCTCATATCGCTTCCATCAGTCGACGTTCGAGCAGCTGAAGCAGAGCGTGGAGAAGGCCAAGGCGGCGCTGCAGGATCGCAGCAGTTTCTTCGGTGCCAGCAGCGCCTTCAGGTGAGATGCGCCAAGATAAAGTTCTTTATGCTATATGTACTATATATGCTTCATTCGTATAGCGACATCTACTCCAGCCAGCGGCTGAGCGATACGCTGGACACGCTGCCCGCCATGCAGAATGGCAGTGGAGCTGGCAATTGTTTGGGCCTCTCGCACAATGCGGGCGCTGGCGTGGGCGTTGGCGTGGGTGTGGGCGTGGGCGTGCTCAATTATAACACTGTAAGCAGCAGCAGCAGCGTCGGCGTCGGCGTCGGCGTACTTGGCAGCAGCGTGCAGCGACATCGCCTCGACACACTGCAGCCCCCCTCGGGCTGCTCGCCAGCGGGCACCCAGCACGGAGTCATCACGTCCAGCGCGGGCCAGCTGTCCGCCTCAACCTTGGATGTGGTGGCCAGCTCGCCCTCGCTGCCACCGGCGCTGTCAGCGTCAACCACCTCGCATGTGGAGCACAAAGTGCGAACAGGTAAGAGTCGAATTATGCTTTGCATTTGAGATAAGGGCTATGTGGCAGATTGTAGTTTGAGCTCTTAAGATTTCTATAGGGAAGTGTGGAAGTGGGTCGTTAGGATCTCTTTTGCTGAGGCAATTATTATATACAGCTAGAAGAAGTAGAGATTCCATATATGGTATATATATACACTACGTGTTTTGCTACGCCTCCTTCTGCCTTCACTCCATCATGAACAGCTGGATAGATGAATGTAAGAAAGAATATCTATTCCTATATAGAATGAAGCCCTTCTGTCGATTTCTGGTAGAGGCTCCTCAGAGAAATCTACATTTGATAATCAAAGCTGAACAAAATACATATCCGGTCTACCATTTCCATTGGAAACCATAGATTTCCCATTCCCTCAATATGTTTTCCGCTGATAAAGATAATCCAAATTGTTTGCAGCATATGATAGCCGCTCGTAAAGCCAGCGAAATAGCATGTTGGCGGCCTTTGACCCACCCGATAAGCTCACCCACTAGCAGCCCACTGACCTTCTCTCGCCATGGTCTAACACAAATGTCAGCGGAATGGCGGAAAAACAAATCCTGCGCTTCCGCCAGCGAAGCCACCAAAGCAAAGCCAACAGCCAAAAAAAAAAAAAAGTTGTTTCTCTGGCAAAAGTGAACAATTTTCGCGTATTTATTTAAACACATTCGGGCAACATATGTTGACCCGTGTCCAAACATAAAAACCACCCACAGAACTGGCGAAAAAAAGGCGGCTAAAGGCCATTTTTGTTTTAGCCAAAACAAGGAGAGGAGCGTTGGGTATAAAAAGCCAAATTGAATTATCCATATAAACGTCAAGGTCTTCGCTGTCGACTCAAACCCCAACTGTTTATCAATTTAAGCCGGCGCAACGGATGTGGCTTATAATGTGGCCAGAGCGGAGCAGCAGGGGCAGCGGCTGGGGCAGGGGAGGCGAATAGAAACATCAAAAATGCACTGTCCACAGTAATATCATCGCGTGCCTGGCTAGAATTTGTTATGCCGCCTCCGTCTGTTGTTGTTCTCCTTCAGCATTTATATCGAAGCAATTTTATATAAGAAATTTTCTTTCCTACTCTCGTATTTCTTTTTATTTGTATTGTTTTTTTATTTTTATTTTTATTTTTTGCTTGTTTGACTTTTTAATCGCCTTGGCTTTGTAAGCCGGAATTCAATATGACAAGCGGGCGAGTCCTTTACTGGCTGGTTTTTAGGGTGAACCAAAATGGCCGTTTGCTGCCGCCGACTCGAACTCAGCCTTAAGCAAATATATGCAGTGAATCCTTTTCACTTGTCTCTATAAGGCAGCATATCTCTCCCCCTCTCCTTCTCCAATTGTCTGTCGCTCTTTTCTCTCTTTATGGGCTTTGCTGTCAACTTTGTGCCTTCTGAACTTTGTCATGCGTAACTCATTATTTTTTGCTCCAGAGCCGTTTGGCTTACAAAGCACATAAAAGATAATTACACTTCCCATCTTGTATAATGCCATTGGATCATTATATATATGACATAGATATATACTATATATGTATATAGAGAAACAAACCGTATACCAGAAAACTTGAGCTCAAGTAAGAAGTTTAGATGTTTGATGCAAGAAATCTCAGTTTGAAGAGGACGGTCAAGCACTTGGCTCAAAGCTGCTTACTTAGTATAAGAATCCATTTAAAAGAATTCAGACTATATATAAACAATTTTCGCCTATTTCGTGCTCGTACTTTGTCCCACATCCATTTCCATTAGCTTCTCCCTCGAGGCTCAATTATGACACAGTCACGTTCCCACACGCACTACATGGATGCAAATTTTAGTCTCGGCTATTATCAGATATGGTCATCAGGATTCGCATTGACATTTCAATTGGAAAGCGTTGCGAATGCTACGACCTATGCTTATTGTTGTTTACATCAAACAAAGATTTACGGCAATTAAACACGGCTACGGCTGCTGTCGTTGCTGTTGCTGTTGCTGCTGCTGCTGCTGCTGGTTGTTGTCGGCTCTGAGAAGTGACAACCCTCGCGATTATATCGTTTGCGGTTCACAGGCTCTGTCCGGCTGAAAGAGAGGGTGGCTGTTGCGGCTGCTGCTGTGAGTGCTCTGCCTCCGTCGCCTGCCGCTGCTGAGCGGAGCGCCGTTGCGTGTCAGCCACGTCATGGTCGGCTGGTCGGCTGGTCGGCTGGCTGGTGGGTCGGGTCGGGGCATAGCACTCGCCGACTCTCAGCCAACCATAATTTGGGTAATAAATAAACGGGTAGTTATCTATGCTGAGATTTATGAGTTGGCCCATTTCTAGTTCGCGCACTTTGCCTGTCTCTGGCTCCCCCTTGCTTTAGCTATCCACGCCATGTCGAATGCCGAAGCGTGTGCAAATTTGTGCTGCATTGCAATTAAAATTTGTTTTGTTTGTTATATTTTGCTCATTTTTCATACAGAGAAATCGTCGCTGGATTGCGCTACATCGTCCTCGCATGCTGTCGTCGCCTCGTCCTCCAGCGCAGCAGCCTCTGCGTCCAGCCATGGCAAAAGCAGCAGCAGCAGCGGCAGCAACGCCGCCAACAATAACAATGCCAGCAATTCACTCTGTAAGTATTAGTTATATGAATCTATATATAGTTTATATAGAGCCTAAGACTGGCTTCAAGTCTCGCATGTCGCCTGTCAATCTTGTGAGCTTTGACAGCTTTCTGTAGCTGAGACAAAAACCAATGACAAACTGCACGCGCTGTTAACAGCTACGCGACAATAGATGGCGCTGTCGCACTGTAGACGGTCGTTATTTCGCTGTATATCTAATTATTATCATATAGTAGTGTATAGGCTATTATTGAAATTAACTTAAATTAAAGTAAAAGAAAATCGATTATCATTCGATTAATTACTATTTATTTCCTTGTTCATAGCAAAAATTTATATTATAAATTTTGTAATATAATCCTATATAGTTTTAAGTGTTGAAAGCTCTTTAATATTGAAAGGGTATATAAATTCATAGTGCTGCACTTGGTTTATGCATTGTAAATCATATAATAACTCATGTCTGCTTACATTTAGTGCTTAAGCACTTTCTATAATCCATGGTCCATACGTTCCACCTAGTCGAACGTATCTCATCAAGCAATAGACTACCGTTAATGCACTCATGGTCAAGGACGGTCTCATGTGAACTATTGGGAACAATGAGGCTTACCTTAATGTCTCTATTGCAAGCACCACTTGACTTTGATGCCTGCAATCTGCAGTAATCTCGAGCCGGCGCTTGACAGCCTTGTGGGAAAGTTGGGCAAACAATCGTCATAGTCTATGGCTACTGTAAACATACAAAACGCAACAGTCAAAACAATTTGGGCAGCGTCAGCGCTGCCAGCCGTTGATAATTTGACTCTTAAGTGCTCTTCAGCGCTAATCCTATTAAGCGTGTTGCCAACAACACACACACACACACACAGTCAGAGTGACAGTCACACGGAAGGCAACCCCATTGGCATAGATAGCTAGATAGCTGGATGAGCAGAGGGCGAGCGGGAGGAGAGGGGGATGAACTGAACAACAATGAGGCTAATCGACAGATCATAAAATGATCAAAATGTTATGTGAAGCGCATTAGGGCGCACGCGTCGTTGACAGCGTAGCTAAAGAGGGATGGGGTGAGGGGTGTAGTAGAAGTGCAGTAGTTGTGGAAGGGTAGCTGGTAGCTGAATCGAAAGTGTGAGATATACTGATTTGGCATTGGCAACTGAGAAGTGGCGCACTTCATTTTGGGCTAGATAAAACAAATAAACTGTGATTATTTGTATTGGCTGCGATTATAGATTAATTAATATAAATAGTTATGAAGTGAAAAGAGGAGGGCTGGGGGAGTGAGAGAAAGGCAGAAAGGTGAGGTAGAGTGAAAAGAGAGAGAAGCACATGCAACTAAGAGAGTGAGAGAGGGATATCAGTAGAAAAAGAATAAGAGTGACAAAGAGAGGGAGAGGAAGTTAGAGAGCGACAAAGAGCGAGAGAAGAGAAGTCGAATGGACAGAGACTATAAGAGAATGTGAAGTTGGAATGAAAGAGAAGTCTCAATGAAGGAAAGGAGCGAGAAAGAGAGAGAGATAGAGAGAGAGATAACGAAGAATGACAGAGAGAGAAAAAGAGAGAGAGATATACTTAGAATATAGAGACAGAGATTGGCGAGGCTTTGCAAAGGAAGATTCGAAGAGGGTGAGACACATATAGAAAGAGAATTCAATGGCAATTATAACTTCTTCGATTGTCTCTAATGCAGCTATATATATGTATATATGTCAGTAATGTGAGACACTTTTCATATAGTTTTAATTATTCAAGTATATATTTTGTATACATATATTTATTTTTAATATTTTATGTATATTTATTTTTTTCTTTAAGCTATGCACAAATCATGCTCGAGGGCATTCCTACTCAGATTGACTTTCGTTTATCTTAAATTTATCTAATCGCAATTACCAGCCAAGACTATAGTCTAATAAAAATAAAATGTAGCGCTTCGTCTATGCGAAAATATACGTGGCTCGTCATATTTCTCGTTACACAAGAGCGCAAATATAATTACAACTGCAATTGTCATAGTGCAAATATGAAATATATATATTTTCTAATTCCATTTAATGAAATAATTTCAAGTGCTCGAGCATTTTGACATTCGGCTATCGCGCATCTCTCATCAAATATTCCAACGTAATCTCATAATCTCTGAACATTAGACCCCCAGCCACCCGCTTAACACTCAGCGGGTGCTGCCACACCCACACACACATATAACGGATAACGCCCACAAAGCTGCGACACGTTGTCACATTGTGAAACACCGAAACCCAACCCCTCTCGCCAACCCCCCTCCCCCTTGCTCCCTCGTTCCCCTTGGCGCCGTATGTTTTGCTCACTTGAAATTTAATTTCTGATTTCATTTGCGCACAGTTTGTAATTCAGTTCGTTCTCTGCTTTTATTTTTATTTTTTTTTTAGCTTGTGCTTTCGTAATTGTTTCAGGCTGTGAAAATAAATTGAAAATGTTTGCCTGTGCCAACTGTGCGACAGTTGGCAACACTGGCAGCCGTAGCGCCAGCGAGCTCTTCTTCTTCTTCTTCTGCCTCGCGTCCCTTTTGACAGCTTCGCGCGCTAACGCGCTGCGCCTTCAATTTATGCGCTTCATATTTTTTAAATGTTACAAAAAATGAAATGTATAAAAGAGAAAATGAAATGGAATGAAGCCTCGCCATGAATGCAGTGGATAAGGAGAGCCGTAAAGGTTTGCCTCCAATGTCTGTGTAACAGACAGTAGGAAGCGACTCTGACATAAAGCCCATATCTTGATTAACATCAATAAGCTATAGCTGTAACTGTAGCTTTAGCGAGGGTAGACTGAGAAAAGTGTGAGCTAATAATCAAATGTTGAAATTATTAAAGAGAAAATTAATATATACTTTGAATAAGCTATACTTTAATTAATCTAGAATTTCTTAGCAGCCAAAGGAGGCAAAATAATAAGTTTATAATATATTTATGATATGGTTGATGCATTGAGTTCATCTAGACATGGCCAACTGTCCGTTCGATACGTCCTCTGTCAGTCGGTCCGTTCCGTCCATTCAGTTCATTCCTCTGCCTCAATTTCATATCATATAATACCTAAAGATTCGTGTATTTCACAAAGTTAATTCATTTTGGGGCTTAAACTTATATATAGAGAATGAATAAAATATATCTAAATATAAGATATATAATAGCAAAATAAAGAACCAAGAGAGTTGTTTATATACAATGCATAATTCAGACATTGGGACATACCTCGCTGACATTAATTTTTATTTTAGTAGATGTAGATTCGTATATGTAGATTCATAGTATCGATCGTTGTTCACAAATCGTCTGCAGCTTTACAAAAAGCATTTCACTTTTTGCTCATACGAACTGTTTCTTGATAATTGTATGCTAATGGTCTGGGCTTAGACATAAATTAGAGTGCTTAAAATTTGGCAAGGACTTCTCACAGTTACACACACACATTCGCTGCTAGACAATGCCCCAGCAACCCCTCCTATTTTTTTCTTTTTTGAGCATGACTTGGCCTGGTTTACAAAAGTTCAAGCGCTCGAAAAAAACTTTTTCCCATGCTGTCGCTGTATATTCACATGTGTTAGTGTGTGTGTGTGCGTGTCTGTGTGCGCGCTTCTATTGATGTCCAAATATTTTTATTCATGGCCCTTTTCGCGGTTCACTTAACTCCCAGCATAGTCATTATGGCAACCCCCTGAGATTTGTTGAGCTGCACGAGTTGCTCATAAATCAATTCATTGTTGTTATTGTTATGGCCACCCGCTCCACCACGCGCTCCCTCTCCTCTCCGGCCGCCGGTTGTAGTTGTCGATAATAATGTCGATGACGGCAACAAGCTGGAAAATGTTGCTAATTTAGTTGTGCAGTTGATTTCGCCCTGCGATAATAACAATTTGCTCAAGGCAACGACTACGCTAAATAAAAAACTTAAAAATCAATTAAAAGTCAAGTGAATGAGAAATGATTGACTGGGAGATACCTGTTTTCTTTTAGAATTATCATCATTTTTATGTTGATTTTTATTACTCTTTTTATTTTTATCTTCTACAACTTTTAGTTTTAATTTGTCTTTATATCTTTACTTTTCTTATTATTATCATCAATAATTCTCATTATTACTGTCTGACTGACTGGGAGATACCTGTTCTCTTTTAGAATTGATTAGCAATTATCATCATATATATTTTAATTTTTATTTATTTTTTACTATTATTATTAACATAGTGTGAATTGCCTTTCTTCTACAACTTTTAGTGTTATTTTGTCTAATTATCTTTACTTTTATTATTATCATCAATAATTATTATCATTATCATTATCACTGTCATTGTCATCTTTACAGTTTGTCTAGTTATTATCAAATTTCCATTATTCTTTATTATCATCAAGCAGCACAGCTTTCTTTATTCTCCTTACTTTGTCATTATTATCAGCATCATATCTGTATATTATCATCGTAATTATCGTTACATTGATTGCTAGTAATATTATTAGCATTATTATTAGCATTATTATTAAATTTTTTTAAAACTATGCTTATTTGTATTATTGGGACTACAAGTATATATAATCTATAGCCTATAGCCTTCAGCTTGCATACGAAGAATGTGGAATACCCCATATGAAGAATACAAATCAAATTGTTTGAGAAACATAGGCAGGAGCAGATAGGGAGAGAGGTGCAGTGTTAGAGAGAAAGAGAGTTAGGAGCAGAAAGAGAGAGCAAGTTAGAGTGTGTAAGAGAGAAGGTACGGCAACAGGTCGTTTCCGCTGCGGGCCCATTGTGATTTATGCCGCTGAAAATGACCCGCTTCCGACATGAAATATCAAAAATCACGCGCACTTGCAAAGTTTAGAAACGACGACGACGACGACGACGATGAGGATGAGGATGAGAATGAGGATGGCGGCAGCAGCGACCACGACGACGACGACGACGACGACTACGGCTCGCACTCTGGCAACGTTGTCGTTTGCACCTACCGCCGGAAACGGAGCGCAGC